GACCCCCAAACCTTGGCCACCAACCTTGCCCACCAACCTTGACCCCCAAACCTTGACCACCAACCTTGACCACAACCTTGCCCCCCCAACCCTTGACCCCCAAACCCTTGTCCACCAACCTTGACCCCCAAACCTTGATCACCAACCTTGACCCCAAAACCTTGACCCCCAACCTTGACCCCCCAAACCTTTGTCACCAACCTTGACCCAACCTTGTCCCAACCCCTTGCCACCAACCGGGGCCCCCAAACCTTGACCACCAACTTGACCACCAACCTTGACCACAACCCTTGCCCACCAACCTTGACCCCCAAACCTTTGCCACCAACCTTGTCCACCAACTTGACCACCAACCTTGGCCCCAACCCCTTACCCCCAACCTTGACCACAACCCTTGCCACCAAACCTTGACCACCAACCCTTTGACCCCCAACCTTGACCACCAAACCTTGACCACCAACCTTTCCCCCAAACCCTTTGACCACCAACCTTGTCCCCCAACCCTTGACCCCCAAACCCTTGTCCCCAAACCCTTTGACCACCCCCTTGGGCCCCCCAACCTTTCCCCCAACCCTTGCCCACCAAAACCTTGACCCCCAAACCCTTACCCCAACCTTGCCACCAACCTTGACCCCAACTTGACCCCCAACCTTGACCCCCAAACCTTGTCCCCCAAACCCCTTGACCCCCAAACCTTGGGACCCCCAAAAACCTTGCCCACCAACCTTGACACCACCTTGCCCCCAACCTTGCCCACCAACTTGACCCCCAACTTGTCCCCCAACCTTTGCCCACCTTGCCCACCAACCTTTGCCACCCCCTTGACCCCCAAACCTTGAACCTTCTGCCCCTATGGTTAACCCTTCCTTTAATATTACATTGGGTTATTTCCTTTAATACAAAATTGGAAATGAACGCCCGTTTTTAAGACTAATTTTATTAAAAATTATTAAAATTTATTAACAGGCCCATGATAAGTTTTTTGGGGGTAAGTAACCTCCTGCCCCCCTTTTGTCCCGGTGTATTTGCGTGATGTTGATGGTTATACCCCCCCCCCCCCCCCCTTCCCCCCCCCCCCCCTTTTTCCCCCCCCCTTTTTTGTTCAATACCTACTGATGTTGGGGATCACTCCCGTGACCCCCTTTACTGTATGCTCAAGGTTTAGGGACGGCAGTGAAGAAGTAGCAGCCAACGGAACACTCCTCTCGTCTCTGGGAATTTGGCCAAGGTTTTTTAGCCGGCCTGGACATATTCGTTTTATTCTGACTGCTTCAATTGGGAACAAGACTTTTACATTAAAATAAACTCCATTTTATTTGTTATATTAGGATCTCCTCCTAATGTCTTTTTGAAAGCCTTAGATATGTGGATACTATAGAAGAAAAATGTATTCTTAATTATATACGATAATTCGTATATTTTAAGGGTTTTTAATTAGAAAATTTCTTAATTTAAAAATTTGGCATTCCGGGGGGTCATTATTATACCCTAACCTCTTGACCAAATTGTTAGCCTAAAAAGGGAATGTTTTACAAAACTTGGAGGTAACAACCACCAAAACCTTGCCAAACCTTGACCACCAAAAATTGCCACCAACCTTGACCACCAACCTTGACCACCAAAACCTTTTACCCCCAACCCTTTACCCCAACCTTGTCCCCAACCCCTTACCACAACCTTGTCCACCCAACCCTTTACCACCAAACCTTGACCCCAACCTTGCCCCCAAACCCTTTTCCCCAACCTTGACCCCCAACCTTGACCCCCAAAACCCTTTTCCACCCCAACCCTTTTCCACCAACCCCGACCCCCAACCTTGACCCCAACCTTTACCACCAACCCCCGACCCCCAACCTTGACCACCAAACCGACCCCCACTTGTCCACCAACCTTGACCACCAACCTTGACCCCAACCTTGCCACCAAACCCTTTGGGCCCAACCCTTTACCCCCAACTTGACCACCAACCGACCACAAACCTTTCCCCCCAACCTTTGACCACCCTTTTCCCCCAAACCCTTTCACCAACCCTTGGGCCCCCAACCTTGGGACCCAATTGGCCCCCAACCTTGACCCCCACCTTTTCCCCCCAACCTTGTCCCCCAACCTTTTCCCCAACCGCCCCCAACCCGCCACCAACTTTTCCCCAAAAATTTGGGCCCCCAACCGACCCCCAACCTTGGCCCCCAAAATTGGCCACCAAACCCTTTACCACCAACCCTTTTCCACCAACCTTGTCCACCACCTTTACCCCAACCCTTGTCCCCCAACTTGACCACAACCTTGGCCACCAACCTTGGCCACCCAACCTTTGGCCCCCAACCTTGGCCACCAACCTTGGCCACCAACCTTGGCCACCAAAACCCTTTTCCCCCAACCTGTCCAAAAAAACTTGGCCACCAACCTTTACCCCCACCTTTGGCCCCCAACCTTTGGGCCCCCAACCCTTTACCCCAACCTTGTCCCCAACCTTGTCCCCCAAACCTTTCCACCAACCTTTGGGACCAACTTGACCACCAACCTTTACCCAACCTTGCCCCCAACCTGGGCCACCCCTTGTCCCCCATCTCACATTTTTTATGGACTAAGAAAACTCTTACCCCCCCCACCCCCCCCTTCCATTTTTTCAATTTTATTAAACAAGTCTGTGAACTGACTGAAATGTAATATTTACATTACATCACAAAGGGGGGGCGGTGAGTTTTTTCACCTAAAACGTGCCCAGCCCTGCCCGCCCTACCCCCAACAGGGGCCCGGGGGGGTGCTGCCCTTCTGCTCTTGGGGGCAGGTGTTACCGGGGGAGGTGTTGCTGCACGGGCCTCCTACACTGACAACACCACCTGCACACACGCCCTCCAGGTCAGTTCTTCCTGGTCAGTGAATGAGTCGTCAGGATAAAGGATACAGCCCGTTAAGGTTTCGTGGAGTGGAGATAGGTGACGTTATCACTAGAAGGAAAAGTGTAAATAGTAGGGGATGTCGCAGAGATAACTCATCTGGGATAATCCATCTGGGATAACCCATCTGGGATAACTCATCTGGGACAACCTACCTGGGATAACTCATCTGGGACAACCTACCTGGGATAACCCACCTGGGATAACCCAGCTGTTGAGTCACTTGGAATGAGGTTCAGCAGCTACGTGACTGGTCGAGTCAGACACCAATGGTAGCAAGAATAATGTTCCAATAAATACTAAAAAATACATAGATCATCGTTGGTGTGTGTATGATCTTACACCTAATACAGTCATGTTTATTTCTCGTTGTTGTTGTATCCTACGGGTTTATCACATCCCCAGATATAATTATGCTGTTGCTGTATCCTAAAGACTTTGTGATATTACAGTAACTTTGTATCTCTTATTTGCTTAAATAAAGGGGATATTTACCCATTAGTAAAAAATTGACCCCCAGACAAGTTTAGTTTTTTAATCAATTAAAATTAATCTAATGTCGCTGTTTTGTCAGTTCATCTTTGAGATATTCAATATTTTGAACGTTACTGTTTTAAAGCACACAACAGTAAACAACAGTTAGATAAGGTATCTGCAGACGGAGGATCGAGCCTTCATTATGTAGAGTCTGACGTAAATAATATGAAATGTTATGTTAAATAATATCTTACATGACTGAATCCCTGGAGTCTCTGTTGTCACATATATATACATATGTGTTGTCACATATATATACATATGTGTTGTCACATATACATGTGACCCTAATACAAGAAGTGTTTGTAAGGAAGAGATATATAATGCACACAGTATATACTGCTTTTATTCTTAATTCTGAAAGTTCTCTGAAGAAACTGTTGCATTATCTTCCTTGTTGATGATTGTGCAATGTTTGTTGCAGAATAACGACAGAGAACAATTAATGACATGGTGTTGAGTCCTTTAGTTCGGCAACATTTTGAAACCGGAACCTTAACAGGATTCTTGTATTAATGTTGGTGGAATTACCCACAATAATTTAGGTAGAAGGACACAGGTGCAACTACTGTGACATTTTACTGTGGCAACGTTTCGCTCTCCAGGAGCTCTATTCAAATTCAGTTCAAATTCAAAGTTTATTCTCTATAAGGATTACAATGCTGAGTTTACAGAAATTTGGTTATTGTGTGGTTTACATGTAGTAAAATAGTGATTACAGAGTGTACCACTAGAACACCTAGCATGGCTAGGCATTTCGGGCAGACTTAGTTTTATTCTTAATTTTAAAATATTACAAATTATGAGGTAAGTTGGTATTATGGCTAAGTGACTAAATACTAGTTTGTGAGTTTAGCAATGTGAATGCTTTTGTTTTGGCACAGTACATAGTTTCAGTATTGGAGTATCACAGGATTTATTATTTTAAGATTGAGATTAATATTTCTGTTTATGGTCAAATGGGTGAGTGAGTGTAAGTGTGAACCACCAGGTGGTATTCGTGTAGTTAGTTGACGGGGTGTATCAGGGAGATAAGATGTTTTCTAATAGTAGTTTTGAAGGTGATGAATGTGTCTGCAGTTCTAGAGTTCTCAGGTAGGGTATTCCAGATTTTAGGGCCTTTGACATACATTGAATTTTTGTAAAGGTTTAGTCGGACACGGGGAATGTCGTAGAGATGTTTGTGTCTGGTGTTATGCCTGTGGGTTCTGTCACAACTATCAAGAAAGCGTTTTAGGTCAAGGTTGATATTAGAGTTTAAGGTCCTGTAGATGTAGATTGCACAGTAGTAAGTGTGGATGTACTGAACAGGGAGTAAGTTTAGGTCTAAGAAGAGTGGGGGGGGGTGTGTTGCCAGGGATGGGATTTAGTGATTATTCTTACTGCAGCTTTTTGTTGGGTTATTATTGGCTTTAGGTGTGTTGCTGCAGTTGATCCCCAAGCACAAATAGCATAGGTGAGGTATGGATAAATAAGTGAGTGGTATAGTGTGAGAAGGGCATTTTGCGGCACGTAGTATCGTATCTTGGAGAGGATCCCAACCGTTTTGGATACTTTTTTGGTTATATGCTGGATATGGGTGCTGAAAGGATTCTTGCTGATAGAACTAAGTGGTACAGATATGTGGATGACGTTGTATGTTTGACGCCCCAAGAGTATAGATGTAAACTGCTTCCTACTTGAGTTAGACTTTTGGGGAAACGTTCATTAAGTTTATTGTTGATTTTGATAGAAATAACTCATTGCTATATTTAGATGTTTTATTTATTAAAAGAAACCAAGAAATTAAATTAAAAATATGCAGAAAACCAATAAATATCAGCCCATGTGTTCATTTTCATTCTGACATCATGACAGAGTTCAATGTTCTATGTTCACTTCCATGTTCTTGTGAGTTCTGCGTATTTGCTGCCCAGAGTTCATTGATCAGGAAATATTATATATTTAAATAGGGCAAATAATCTAAAACATCAGAAAACTTTCATTGCAGATCTTGTGTTTAAAAATTTTGATATAATAAAACAGTTTGGTTAAGAACTTACTCAAAATATTGACGTGTCTATAAGATTCCCTGTGGAAAAAATACACTAATTTTTATTACAGTCAAACAGGAAAAGTCTTGAATTAAGAATACAACAATATATATATATATATATATATATATATATATATATATATATATATATATATATATATATATATATATATATATATATATATATATACATCATTTGATATAATTAAAACTTTAATGCTCTGTTTATTCACGTGAGAGATTTTAACCACACAGTTGATTTTCAAAAGGCCGAAAAGTTGCGTCAAACAACAAAATATAAAAGAATCAAATTCCATGACAAAAACAGTACCGATTATAATTTGAATATAAGTCCATGATTGTACAAACTAGATTAATTTATGAAGAATAGAATGTGTGAGGACTATAAGTCAATGTTGACACAGTTCCTCTGCCTGAAGTGTCACTCTCTTAAATTTTACCTGACATGTGACCTGACTAAAAACTTCACAAGAGTGGAAGTGTACCTCCCACGCTCGGTGAGTTAAGTCACATGTAAGGTCATATCCCTGTTTTATACGACTTCTGTTGTACCCAGCAGCACTGTTTCACGAATCTCTAAATCCGTTATTAGGTAAGATTCGACAAGAAACAAAACAAGTGTCTCCTGACGCGGATCTTAGTCATATGATGGCCCGCCGGTGGAGCTTTGGTCATCTGAACGAGGCCTTCTGCTGGCTTACCCCTCCACCCTTTCAAAAGTAAAGATTATATACCTTCTATATGGGTTAGTGATGGTGGCTGTGGCTTCCTCTAACAGTGACACAGCCATTGTCTAATTGAGTTGTTAATGCTTGTCACAGTGCTTCTCCTCCTTTACAGGACGGTGAGATGAGGTGTCAGGCACTGTCGTGCCCCTCACCCAACTGCAGCCACCCTGAGCCAACACCTGGCACTGACTGCTGCAACCTGAGGTGCCAGGGATGTGCCTTCCAGGGTCAGGTGTTTAAGAACGACCAGGTCTTCAAACACAACTGCTCGACCTGTGTTTGTCAGGTCAGTGATGCTGTCTACGTCATCTACCTGTGTTTGTCAGGTCAGTGATGCTGTCTACGTCATCTACCTGTGTTTGTCAGGTCAGTGATGCTGTCTACTTCATCTACCTGTGTTTGTCAGGTCAGTGATGCTGTCTACGTCATCTACCTGTGTTTGTCAGGTCAGTGATGCTGTCTACGTCATCTACCTGTGTTTGTCAGGTCAGTGATGCTGTCTACGTCATCTACCTGTGTTTGTCAGGTCAGTGATGCTGTCTACGTCATCTACCTGTGTTTGTCAGGTCAGTGATGCTGTCTACGTCATCTACCTGTGTTTGTCAGAGTCAGTGATGCTGTCTACGTCATCTACCTGTGTTTGTCAGGTCAGTGATGCTGTCTACGTCATCTACCTGTGTTTGTCAGGTCAATGATGCTGTCTACGTCATCTACCTGTGTTTGTCAGGTCAGTGATGCTGTCTACGTCATCTACCTGTGTTTGTCAGGTCAGTGATGCTGTCTACGTCATCTACCTGTGTTTGTCAGGTCAGTGATGCTGTCTACGTCATCTACCTGTGTTTGTCAGGTCAGTGATGCTGTCTACGTCATCTACCCGTGTTTGTCAGGTCAGTGATGCTGTCTACGTCATCTACCTTTTTTGTCAGGTCAGTGACTGTCTACGTCATCTACCGTGTTTGTCAGGTCTGATGCTGTTACGTCATCTACCGTGTTTGTCAGGTCAGTGATGCTGTCTACGTCATCTACCTGTGTTTGTCAGGTCAGTGATGCTGTCTACGTCATCTACCCGTGTTTGTCAGGTCAGTGATGCTGTCTACGTCATCTACCTGTGTTTGTCAGGTCAGTGATGCTGTCTACGTCATCTACCCTGTGTTTGCAGTCAGTGATGCGTCTAGTATCATTCTACCGTGTCTTGTCAGGTCGAGTGATGCTGTCTACGTTTCACCGTTTTGTCAGGTCAGTGAATGCTGTCTACGTCATCTACCGTGTTTGTCAGGTCAGTGATCTGTCACGTCATCTACCCGTGTGTTGTCGAGGTCAGTGATGCTGTCTACGTCATCACCGTGAGGAGTTTAATGTCAAGGTCTAGTGACATGCCTACTCATCTAGCCACTGTTTGTACTCAGGAATCTAGTTGTGCGTCAGTGCATCACTGGAGGTCAGAATCTTGCTTAACTCACAGTCTGTGATAAAGCAGTAGATGAAGCTGTAGTAAACAGTGCCATTAGTTGTGTGTCGTGTTGTGTGGCTGCTCAGTTCTACTCTGAGAAGTTACTCAAAGTGACTTCTGTTACGTGACAGTATCTCTAGTTGGAACTCAACAGAGTCTGATCTCACTGGATACATGTATGATGAGAGCTACGTCAAAAGTCACGTTTGTAGGAGTCAAGTGATTCTATCAGTCGGACAACACGGCTAATGTCCCCTGATCCAGGCTAAACCATTTCACTGGAGATAACAGCTTGTTGTCCGGTACAATCTACAGAATTTAGTCCTTTGAGCACAGAGTTAGCGAATCAAGTAATCTTGACACTGTGTACAGGTGACAAGTCAGTGGACCTCATTGAGAATTTAGACTGAGAACTGTAATCATCTGTGAGTAGCGTTTATTGATCGACAGTTGACGATTTTCTTATTTTACGAGTTGGCATATTAGACTCTGTTGATTGCTGTGGCAACTGTACTCAGTTCGAGTCCTCATCAGTGATCACTACCGAGGGCAACAACACTCTTCACCTCTGACCCGCAAGTAAACATCTTCATTCTGGAAGCATAAACAAAAATCTTGTTTCAGCTGGGCATGACAGATGGTGGAAATTTACTGAGAGCTAACTTTAAAACGAGTTTTAGGTATCAAAGTATTCCTGACAGATGGTGTACAGGTGACATGCAGTGTTAATGACCCTCGTGTAGTAGATAGGCTTTAAACCCCATTAATCAACCAGCCAGAGATAGACGTTATTTTGTTCGACTATATTACAGAGTTTTTGTTTTGTCAGCGTTGTTGAGCGGATTACTTCTCTGGTCCCCCAGGAAGGTAACGTTACCTGTGAGGCCGTGGAGTGCCCAGACGTACCCTGCAGCCTGCCCACTCTGAAGGAGGGCACTTGCTGCCCCACCTGCCCACCCTGTCAACATCTGGGCATCATCCTGCCCCCTGAGTACCGCTTTATTGATCCTGATCGTCCCTGCACTCTGTGTGTCTGTCATGTTAGTTACTGTACTGTGTGTGTCATGTTAGTTACTGTACTGTGTGTGTCATGTTAGTTACTGTACTGTGTGTGTCATGTTAGTTATTGTACTCTGTGTCTGTCATGTTAGTTACTGTATTCTGTGTGTGTCTGTCATGTTAGTTACTGCACTCTGTGTGTGTCTGTCATGTTAGTTACTGTACTGTGTGTGTCATGTTAGTTACTGTAGTCTCTGTGTCTGTCACGTTAGTTATCGTACTCTCTGTGTCTGTCACGTTAGTTACTGTACTCTATGTGTGTCATGTTAGTTACTGTACTCTGTGTGTGTCATGTTAGCTACTGTACTCTGTTTGTGTGTGTCGTGTTAGTTACTGTACTCTGTGTGTGTCATGTTAGTTACTGCACTCTGACGGTCAGGAGGTGGAGTGATACGAGTCTCAACGGGAAGTTGTAACAGGTACGACTCGGACATATCATCTACGAACTGCGATCATGAAAGCTTTCTGTATATAGGGGCTCAGACACTGGTAATCTAACTCCTAGACTGACTAATGTCAGCTGTCAACGGTCACAATGGGTGACATGTAACACAAGGGTGTTACCAATAGTCTGGGCTCAGACCACACTGTGGTCTACACACATTTTGGCTCAGAGACCAAACATCAGGACACACGGAAAACTTACACACACCCACACTTCACATCGTGTAGTGTTGTGTAGTGCTAGTGCAAGCAATGTTGTAACTGCATGTCTTGCACTAGCACTACACAACTCAGCACTACACAACACTACACGATGCAGCACTACACAACACAGTACAACAGAGCACTACACAACACTACATGATACAGTACTACACAACACATCTCTACACAACACATCTCTACACAACACATCTCTACACAACACAGCACTACAAAACACTATATGATGCAGCACTACACAACACAGTACAACACAGCACTACACAACAAACTCTGCACAACACAACAGAGCACTACACAACACAGCACTGCACAACACAATGCAGCACTACAAAACACAGCACTACACAGCACAGCACTACACAACACAGCACTACACTACACTTCACAACACAGCACTACACTACACAACACAGAACTACATGTGGGAGCATGACTCATGAAATCATAATGACACGATTGCAAACAAACCATACCATGGACGGAGACGGAACCCGTGATCGGTCTGGAGTTTTGAGACTCTCTGATCGTGGGTTCCATCCCCGTCCGTGGTATGGTTTGCTTACATGTGGGAAATTAGGGAAATTATCCGATTTCCCAACCATTAGATCCTCAGTAAGGGAAAAAAGATGGGGTGATTGAGGTAACATGGGTGGTGATGTGCACCCAGGTACTCCCACTCAACGTTCCAATATTTCTGCATCCACTCTTAATTTGTAAGACTATATAATGAAGCCTCCATAGGTTAATATACTAATCTTGTAAGTATTTAAGCTAAGCTAGTCGTAGAGTAATTTAGCTTTGTACCTATGATTACCTTTCACAGTCTACACAGTTGTGAACAGTGGGCACTTTTTGCAGCCAGCCATCAGTGCCCATTACCCACACACAGTGACCCACACCTGACACCCAGACCTCAGTCACAAAAAAACTGTTTGCGAGTGTACAGACTTCGCTAATTAAGCCGAAATAGCAATTACCTGTTTAAAGTGCCATTTACCCTACACTAGGCCAGTACAGTGAAGTAGTCTGATATTTGTTAACACATTACACCATGAATTAGATATCATTTCACGTCAATAACTTGCTTCCTCGCTGTTACAAAGCTGTTGCAGATTGTGATTCATACAAACTATCTCAGGGCTTGAGCAACATAGATCCCCCACACTTCACGATGGTAAATATCTGCTAACAGTGTCATTAAATGCGCATTTCTTGTACGTAGTGGAGGTGACCAGTGTGAAGGGTGTTACCACAGCCTCCAGCTCACCAGAGATGCACCTGTCACAGGAGTATACTGCCTTGGTGTAGTGTACAGGGTGAGTTTCGGTTTCAGAAATGGGACAGCAGGTTTTTGGGCTGAATTCCTTATTTTTTTTATTGGATCAGCTAATTAGACATACACCCTCTATTATACACAACACTGTACTACACAACTTGGCACTACACTATACAACACAGCAGTACACATTATAGCATTACACAACAATACAGTACAACAAAACACAGCAAAAAACACTACAGTTGTGGGTCAAAGGCCGTTCAGTATTTTTGTATTAGTGGATTTGACTATGTTGTAGTTCATCTCTATGTTGTGGTTCGTTTCTATGTTGTGGTTCATCCCTATGTTTTGGTTCGTCCCTATGTTGTGGTTCGTTACCATGTAGAGAATCTCTTTGCCTGATGAGATTGATGAGAGATGTTTTGTTTCAGGATGGAGATGTGAGATGTTTCCCAGAACCATGCCCTGTGTTGCACTGCCTACCTGGCCAGCACCTGGTCACCAACACGGGGTCTTGTTGCCCTGTCTGTGCCACCACACCTGCTGCTGACACCATGGCACCTCTTTCGCACCACTCTGCCTACCAGGACACTCAGCTGCATACTGTCACTCAGAGCACTGTGTCTCACACTACATCTCAGACGACTGTGTCTCACCCTCCCACTCCGAACACTGTGTCTCACACAACAATTCAGGATGTTTACACTCAAGCAGCAGGTCATGTTGACCTTCAAAACATTGCTAGCCCTCAAGATCACACAAATCCTCAAGAAACAACAGCTGGTTCGTACGTGGAACGTCTCCAGACAGATGAACAAACTACCCAATTCCCCTCATTACTACAGTCTCTGAATGACTCTGTCTTCACTGACAGCCTTGCAAAACAGTCCCCTACAAGACAAGCTACTGAAGACCTCGTCAACACTGAGACTACAACCTTTTATACACCGACTACACTAGATCCAGAAGTCACTGTAGACTCCATCAACACTGAGACTACAACTTTATTTACACTGACTACAGCAGTTCCGGAAGTCTTTTGGCGTAACATTACATTTGCTGACGAAATCTACGACAGGAAGGCAATGTTTGATTCTGAGAGAGAATTCAATACAGCGGAACTTATAGCTAGGGAGCCGGCGATAGTTTCAAAGAAGAGGATGTTAGCTAACTCCTCCTCGAGTGTGTATGTTGAGAAAAATGTACTAGAGAGCACTGCTGGAGTTCCAGTGGAAGCATCTCAAGCCTTCAACACCTCAGACAAGATAGCAGAGTTCACCCTCAATAACGCAAACCAGTTTTCTTCTTCGGCTTCAAGTTCAGCGGTAACTCAGGTTTCTGATAAATCTGAAGGCACTGTGCCAAGTATTGTCACAGATGTTGAGGGTGATGACGCTGTGCCAAGTGTTGTCACTGATGTTGAGGGTGAAGGCACTGTGCCAAGTGTTGCTATAGATGTGAAAGATGAAGGCACTGTGCCAAGTGTTGTCACAGACGTGGAGGATGATGGCACTGTGCCAAGTGTTGCCAAAGACGTGAAGGATGATGCCACTGTCCCAAGTGTCGTCACAGACGTGAAGGATGATAGCACTGTGCCAAGTGTTGCTACAGACGTGAAGGATGATGGCACTGTGCCAAGTGTTGCTACAGACGTGAAGGATGATGGCACTGTGCCAAGTGTTGCTACAGACGTGAAGGATGATGGCATTGTGCCAAGTGTTGCTACAGACGTGAAGGATGATGGCATAGTGCCAAGTGTTGCTACATACGTGAAGGATGATGGCACTGTGCCAAGTGTTTCTACAGACGTGAAGGATGATGGCACTGTGCCAAGTGTTGCTACATACGTGAAGGATGATGGCACTGTGCCAAGTATTGCTACAGACGTGAAGGATGGCACTGTGCCAAGTATTGCTACAGACGTGAAGGATGATGGCACTGTGCCAAGTGTTGCTACATACGTGAAGGATGATGGCACTGTGCCAAGTGTTGCTACAGACGTGAAGGATGATGGCACTGTGCCAAGTGTTGCTACAGACGTGAAGGATGATGGCACTGTGCCAAGTGTTGCTACAGACGTGAAGGATGATGGCACTGTGCCAAGTGTTGCTGCATACGTGAAGGAGGATGGCATTGTGCCAAGTGTTGCTACATACGTGAAGGATGATGGCACTATGCCAAGTGTTTCTACAGACGTAAAGGATGATGGCACTGTGCCAAGTGTTGCTACAGACGTGAAGGATGATAGCACTGTGCCAAGTATTGCTACAGACGTGAAGGATGATGGCGCTGTGCCAAGTATTGCTACAGACGTGAAGGATGATGGCACTGTGCCAAGTATTGCTACAGACGTGAAGGATGATGGCACTGTGCCAAGTGTTGCTACAGACGTGAAGGATGATGGCACTGTGCCAAGTGTTGCTACAGACGTGAAGGATGATGGCACTGTGCCAAGTATTGTTACAGACGTGAAGGATGATGGCACTGTGCCAAGTATTGCTACAGACGTGAAGGATGATGGCACTGTGCCAAGTGTTGCTACAGACGTGAAGGATGATGGCACTGTGCCAAGTGTTGCTACAGACGTGAAGGATGATGGCACTGTGCCAAGTATTGCTACAGACGTGAAGGATGATGGCACTGTGCCAAGTGTTGCTACAGACGTGAAGGATGATGGCACTGTGCCAAGTATTGCTACAGACGTGAAGGATGATGGCACTGTGCCAAGTGTTGCTACAGACGTGAAGGATGATGGCACTGTGCCAAGTATTGCTACAGACGTGAAGGATGATGGCACTGTGCCAAGTATTGCTACAGACGTGAAGGATGATGGCACTGTGCCAAGTGTTGCTACAGACGTGAAGGATGATGGCACTGTGCCAAGTGTTGGTACAGACGTGAAGGATGATCCAGCAGTCTCCAGCAAGACAGTACAGTCATCCAGCCAACATTGTTTACTTGATAAAATTAATAAACTGAGAGCATCAAAAACAAGAATTAGATACAAAGTTACCATCAAGAAGTCAAGACGAGAGAACTCTACTGAGGAGAAATATACTGCAGACAGTGAGACAGCCACTGTAGACAGTGGAACAGTCGAAGCAGACAGAGACAGTGAAATAGTCACAGCAGACAGAGACAGTGAAACAGTCACAGCAGACAGAGACAGTGAAACAGTCACAGCAGACATAGACAGTGAAACAGTCACAGCAGATAGAGACAGTGAAACAGTCACAGCAGACAAAAACAGTGAAACTGTCACAGCAGACACCAATAAGAGAGAGACACAGAGTGACACACCCGTACACAGAAGACAAGAGAACACGGCTCCAGGTTCCTTCACTCTCACTGTTCTTCCTTCTACCAGTGAAACCTTGAACACCAGAGAACAAACCTCAGTTTCCTTCCCGACAGCAGACTCGAGGTTCTCACCGGGTGTAACCCGACGACTGCAGTACCTCGACAGTTATCCTGACATCAAGGAGCTCCTTCTTGACGGAACAATAGAGATAAGTGGCAATGATGCCAAAGTCTTACAGAGATCAGTGGCGTCAGTAACAGCCAAGGAACGCAGTGGAACAAATGAAGTTCCTCAGCCAATACAAATAACCAAAGGAGCTCAAGATATAACAACTCAAGAACCAATGTTGTGGCTTCACTCTTCACTAGATGCAGCTCTGGTGCCACCAGCTTCTCTCCCTGTGAAGTCAATATTATCATCTAAAGAGCGTTTTCTACTGCTGACTGAGAGTCACAGTGAAGGTAGAGAGCTGGATCAGTTTGCTCCTTCAGCTGCTGCTACAGTGCTAACCACGACGATTTCACCTCCAACCTGGACAAGTTACGCCGATGCTGCTGATTCACTTGGCTATGTAGAAATTGTAGACTCCACTACTGGTGGACCTGTCTCGTCATTCTTCATTTCACCTGCCTCTTTAGAGAACCGGAAACCCATGCTTGTTTCTGCGGGGGTTTTCAACGTTAAGGCAGTTCCTGTGACAGGGATAGCTGGTACCGCAAGTGTTCCCACTACTGACCTACTGCCAACACAAGACACTACTACACCTCCTGTGGCTGTGGTGGCACCTTCTGCCACAAAAATTCCCTCTACCGTGGTGCTGCCAACCCCTGACTCCACACACATCGCAGCTACAGTCACACCCTCGTCACAGCTGACGACAGATCGTCCCACAGGGTCATCTGATATTTCTTTGGTGACACAAGCATTACCTTCATCTGATAGTTTTTCTCTGAAGCTTTCCTTAGACACAACCTTAAGCTCTTCCAGTATTGGAAAGACTGATTCCATACGTCGAATAATAGGTCTTAACGAATTTGAAAATACTGAATACCGCAATGAAGAGAGGAACATAATACCTACTTTAATAACTTATTCACATGTCCCGTCTGTGCCCAGTTCTCAGCAGTACACTTTGTTTGTCAGTACTGAGCAATCTGAGGCCTCGACTGAACCAGCTTTACCACAAGAACCCGACTCAGAACTGCACTCAGAACTTGTTCACGAAAACAAAAGTAGGAAGATGACACACATACCAGGCACAACACCGTCAGTACCTTCGTCTGTCCAGGAGCTTGATGTCAGCGCGGCGTCAGTCGCTGGTGAAGCGGATCATCGCAGCTTGAAGACGACTTATAATATAAGGTTCTATAAGGAGGACACTTCAAATTATCACTTAATACCTAACCTGACGACACACAGGACCACGACAACCCCACATACGATGACTGACACAGTGACTTCAACATACCCACAGCCTCAAACAACGACACATTCAGCGATAACTTTGCCAGTACCTTCGATAACTGTCTCCCCAGACACTACTACTACGACTACCACCTCTCCCATTACCCTTCAGAGTCCCACAACGACAACACTGCCTGCAACAACGACCACTAGCTCCTCACCTGCTACTAGTACGACCTTTACTGGTACCTTACATGGGTCGTGTGAGCCGGAGGAGATAGGCAAGACCTTCACCCAACCTGAGGACCCTTGTACCGCCTGTACATGTTCGGTAGGATATATATATATATATATATATATATATATATATATATATATATATATATATATATATATATATATATATATATATATATATATATAACAGATTTATTTTCTGTAATAATGTTAATGAATACAATGTAAATATTATATCCTGGCTTCCAGGAACGGAGGCTCAAGCCTCTATTACTTACTGAATGACCCATACGGGTTTACCTGTTCTGTAATAATGTTAATGAATACAATGTAAATATTATATCCTGGCTTCCAGGAACGGAGGCTCAAGCCTCTATTACTTACTGAATGACCCATACGGGTTTACCTGTTCAATTACAACGTGTTAATGTTGTTGTCGTGCCAGCAGAGCGAGCAACAGTGGGAGTGTGTGAAGACAGTGTGTGAGGACCTTGACTGTCCCTCAGAGGAGCTCCACCTGGAAGAAGGACAATGTTGTCCTGCCTGTAAAGGTCAGTATTACGCCCAGAACAGTGTTGTCCTTCACGTAAAGGTCAGTATTACGTCTAGAACAGTGTGTTCATAGCTGTAAAGGCCAGTACCTCAGCTAGACAGTCCTGAGACACCTGGTATACCACACAGACAACTTGATGAGTCAAGACACATGCGAGGGATTTGTGTATCTTTCTTATTGAAACGTAAAGCCCACGCAACTGTCTTCAACACTGCAGACAGAAGTAGTAGTAGTAGTTAGCAGCAGTAGTAGTAGTAGCAGACAGCAGTAGTAGTAGTAGTTAGCAGCAGTGGTAGTAGTAGTAGACAGCAGTAGTAGTAGTAGTAGCAGCAGACAGCAGTAGTAGTAGTAGTAGTAGTAGCAGACAGCAGTAGTAGTAGTAGTTAGCAGCAGTAGTAGTAGACAGCAGTAGTAGTAAACAGCAGTAGTAGTAGTAGTAGACAGCAGTAGTAGAAGTACTCGCAGACAGCAGTAGTAGTAGTAGCAGAGAGCAATAGTAGTAGTAGTAGTAGACAGCAGTAGTAGTAGTAGTTAGCAGTAGTAGTAATAGTAGTAGTAGACAGCAGCAATAGTAGTAGTAGTAGCAGACAGCAGTAGTAGTAGTAGCAGACAGCAGTAGTAGTAGTAGTTAGCAGCAGTAGTAGTAGTAGCAGACAGCAGTAGTAGTAGTAGAAAGCAGTAGTAGTAGTAGTTAGCAGCAGCAGCAGTAGTAGTAGTAGTAGTAGTAGTAGACAGCAGTAGTAGTAGTAGTTAGCAGCAGTAGTAGTAGTAGTAGACAGCAGCAGTAGTAGTAGTAGCAGACAGCAGTAGTAGTAGCAGTAGAAAGCAGTAGTAGTAGTTAGCAGTAGTAGTAGTAGTAGTAGTAGTTAGCAGTAGTAGTAGTAGTTAGCAGTAGTAGTAGTAGACAGCAGCAGTAGTAGTAGTAGTAGTAGCAGACAGCAGTAGTAGTAGTAGTAGGCAGCAGTAGTAGTAGTAGTTAGCAGCAGTAGTAGTAGTTAGCAGCAGTAGTAGTAGTAGTAGTAGTAGACAGCAGTAGTAGTAGTAGTTAGCAGCAGTAGTAGTAGTAGTATACAGCAGTAGTAGTAGTAGTAGCAGACAGCAGTAGTAGTAGTAGCAGACAGCAGTAGTAGTAGTAGTCGTAGTAGCAGACAGCAGTAGTAGTAGAAAGCAGTAGTAGTAGTAGTAGTAGAAAGCAGTAGTAGTAGTAGTTAGCAGTAGTAGTAGTAGTAGTAGTAGACAGCAGCAGTAGTAGTAGTAGTAGTAGCAGACAGCAGTAGTAGTAGTAGTAGTAGACAGCAGTAGTAGTAGTAGCAGACAGCAGTAGTAGTAGTAGTAGACAGCAGTAGTAGTAGTAGTTAGCAGTAGTAGTAGTAGACAGCAGCAGTAGTAGTAGTAGTAGCAGACAGCAGTAGTAGTAGTAGTAGGCAGCAGTAGTAGTAGTAGTTAGCAGCAGTAGTAGTAGTTAGCAGCAGTAGTAGTAGTAGTAGTAGTAGACAGCAGTAGTAGTAGTAGTTAGCAGCAGTAGTAGTAGTAGTATACAGCAGTAGTAGTAGTAGTAGCAGACAGCAGTAGTAGTAGTAGCAGACAGCAGTAGTAGTAGTAGTAGTAGTAGCAGACAGCAGTAGTAGTAGAAAGCAGTAGTAGTAGTAGTAGTAGTAGAAAGCAGTAGTAGTAGTAGTTAGCAGTAGTAGTAGTAGTAGTAGTAGTAGACAGCAGCAGTAGTAGTAGTAGTAGTAGTAGCAGACAGCAGTGAAAGGTAGTGGGGTAGTAGTAGTAGCAGACAGCAGTAGTAGTAGTAGTAGTAGACAGCAGTAGTAGTAGTAGTTAGCAGTAGTAGTAGTAGCAGACAGCAGTAGTAGTAGTAGAAAGCAGTAGTAGTAGTTAGCAGCAGTAGTAGTAGTAGTAGTAGACAGCAGTAGTAGTAGTAGTTAGCAGCAGTAGTAGTAGTAGTAGCAGACAGCAGTAGTAGTAGTAGTTAGCAGCAGTAGTAGTAGTAGCAGACAGCAGTAGTAGTAGTAGAAAGCAGTAGTAGTAGTAGTAGTAGTAGTAGACAGCAGTAGTAGTAGTAGTAGTTAGCAGCAGTAGTAGTAGTAGTAGTATACAGCAGTAGTAGTAGCAGACAGCAGTAGTAGTAGTAGACAGCAGTAGTAGTTATAGACAGCAGTAGTAGTAGTAGTAGCAGACAGCAGTAGTAGTAGTAGTAGCAGACAGCAGCAGTAGTAGTAGTAGACAGCAGTAGTAGTAGTAGCAGACAGCAGCAGTAGTAGTAGTAGTAGCAGACAGCAGTAGTAGTAGTAGCAGACAGCAGTAGTAGTAGTAGAAAGCAGTAGTAGTAGTAGTTAGCAGCAGTAGTAGTAGTAGTAGTAGTAGACAGCAGTAGTAGTAGTAGTTAGCAGCAGTAGTAGAAGTAGTATACAGCAGTAGTAGTAGTAGTAGCAGACAGCAGTAGTAGTAGTAGACAGCAGTAGTAGTAGTAGACAGCAGTAGTAGTAGTAGTAGTAGTAGTAGTAGCAGACAGCAGTAGTAGTAGTAGTAGCAGACAGCAGTAGCAGTAGTAGTAGTAGCAGACAGCAGTAGTAGTAGTAGACAGTAGTAGTAGTAGCAGACAGCAGTAGTAGTAGTAGTAGCAGACAGCAGCTGTAGTAGTAGTAGTATCACACAGCAGTAGTAGTAGTAGACAGCAGTAGTAGTAGCAGACAGCAGTAGTAGTAGTAGCAGACAGCAGTAGTAGTAGTAGACAGCAGTAGTAGTAGTAGACAGCAGTAGTAGTAGTAGTAGTAGTAGCAGACAGCAGTAGTTGTAGTAGTAGCAGACAGCAGCAGTAGTAGTAGTAGTAGACAGCAGTAGTAGTAGTAGTAGCAGACAGCAGTAGTAGTAGTAGTAGTAGACAGCAGTAGTAGTAGTAGTACTTAGCAGCAGCAGTAGTAGTAGACAGCAGTAGTAGTAGTAGTAGTAGTAGCAGACAGCAGTAGTAGTAGTAGTTACCAGCAGTAGTAGTAGTAGCAGACAGCAGTAGTAGTAGTAGTAGTAGACAGCAGTAGTAGTAGTAGTAGTAGCAGACAGCAGTAGTAGTAGTAGCAGACAGCAGTAGTAGTAGTAGCAGACAGCAGTAGTAGTAGTAGCAGACAGCAGTAGTAGTAGTAGTAGTAGACAGCAGTAGTAGTAGTAGTAGTTAGCAGGAGTAGTAGTAGTAGTAGTAGTTAGCAGCAGCAGCAGTAGTAGTAGACAGCAGTAGTAGTAGTAGTAGACAGCAGTAGTAGTAGTAGTAGTAGTAGTAGCAGACAGCAGTAGTAGTAGTAGTTACCAGCAGTAGTAGTAGTAGCAGACAGCAGTAGTAGTAGTAGTAGTAGACAGCAGTAGTAGTAGTAGTAGTAGCAGACAGCAGTAGTAGTAGTAGCAGACAGCAGTAGTAGTAGTAGTAGTAGTAGTAGACAGCAGTAGTATTAGTAGTTAGCAGCAGTAGTAGTAGTAGTAGACAGCAGTAGTAGTAGTAGACAGCAGTAGTAGTAGTAGCAGACAGCAGTAGTAGTAGTAGACAGCAGTAGTAGTAGTAGTAGCAGACAGCAGTAGTAGTAGTAGCAGACAGCAGTAGTAGTTGTAGTAGACAGTAGTAGTAGTAGTAGTACCAGACAGCAGTAGTAGTAGTAGTAGCAGACAGCAGTAGTAGTAGTAGTAGTAGTAGCAGACAGTAGTAGTAGTAGACAGCAGTAGTAGTAGTAGTAGACAGCAGTAGTATTAGTAGACAGCAGTAGTAGTAGTTGACAGAAGTAGTAGTAGTAGACAGCATTAGTAGTAGTTGACAGCAGTAGTAGTAGTGTTGAGGTGACCTG